TTTTTTTTTTTTTGATCACAGCCTATTAAATGTTAGGCTAGGAATGGACCCCGTCAGTTATCAAGGCTAGTCTTTGCTTACAATTGAGAAAACTGGACTGTTTTATTTGAATCTAGAAGAGGTTATAAAACAGGCAGAAGAGGAAGGAAGAGGTCAGGGGCAATGGGCAATGGAGAGACACGACAGACCGTCAGCCATTCTGGAAGGAGCCAGACATATTCTGCTAGTCTAGGAAGGGCAGGGCCTCAGAAATTTACGAAGAAATGAACCTCTTCTGTCCCACAAAAGAAGAATCAAAGGATCAGGCAGCACCATCTTTCTCTGATATTTGGAGGACATATAGATTCTTACTGGCTTTTTCATTGTATATAGCACATATATAATTTTTCTTATGTACTTGTAATTGTTGTCCTCTATAAGTGACTAAATCTTGAATGAAACTTAGTTAACATACCTGGAACAAACAAGAAATAATTCTGTAATATTTTCTGATACATTAAATTTTAAGTTTGAGCAGACATATAGTAGATTTTAAAAAGATCTTTTTTTGGTTCTAGATTGTCATGATATATAGAAAATAACCATTCTATAAATAGAAAATATAAACATTAGCTCTAGTTTGGCTGCATTGACCATTTAATATAGCTTTTACATTTTAAAGTTCAAAACAATTCTTATTTATAGCCATATAAACCTCTTCCTGCAGGTGCTAGTGCTTATATGTCTTATTTATTGTTGTCTAAAAGTGTGATTATCTTTTCTGTTGTTCAGATTATTTTATTAGAAGGTATCCTGGGTCTGCTGTTAAATGTTTGTCACTGACAAGTGATTGAGGTGAAATTAAATTTTATTATTTATATGTAAGTTTGTTGCTTGGGAGGGATATAGGGTAGGAGCAGTGGAGTATGGGGAAAAAATTTCAATTAATTAATTTTAATTTATCACTTTAATTGTGACGCTAGAATTTAAATTACACTATAGTTATTTTTCTTTAAAGAGTTCGAGCATTTAAAATACCTTTTGGTCTGTGTTTTCTTTTCTTCCCTTTTTTTTTTTTTAAGACAGAGTTTCGCTCTTGTTGCCCAGGCTGGAGTGCAGTGGCACGATTTCGACTTACCGCACCCTCTGCCTCCCGGGTTCAAACGATTCTCCGGCCTCAACCTCCTGAGTAGCTGGGTCGGATTATAGGCGTGCACCACGACACCTGGCTAATTTTGTATTTTTTGGTAGAGACGGGGTTTCTTCATGTTGGTCAGGCTGGTCTGGAACTCCTGACCTCAGGTATTCCACCTGCCTCTGCCTCCCAGAGTGCTGGGATTACAGGTGTGAGCCACCACGTCCGGCTGGTCTGTGTTTTATTTTCCATTAGTTTCTATTTCTGTTAGTTTCTATTTCATTATTTCCTGTCAAACTTTAACTATTTAGCTGTTATTCTGACATAGACTAGAGCAGAAATTACATCCTTTTTTATATATATTTTTTTCTTTATTGGGTACACATTGTTGGCAGCATTTTCCTTAGTGACCTACAACATGGTGATTACTGTAATTAATCTTAACTGTGTTACACGATTTTTTAATGTCAGTAACTTAAAAGTGCATTGGATGATCTCTAAATGAAATTATTCTAAAGCATGTAGTGAGGTTCTTGAGTTCCTAAAATTTGTTTCTTTAGAAATTTTTATATTGTAGGTTTTTATATTAGTGTTTTTTAGAAGTGACGCTATCATTCACTTCAACTCTGGGCCTACACAAAATAGGGAGTGTTCAGATTAAATGCTAAACTTGGCTCTCCTTAGACACAGTGCCTTGATTCACTGCCAGTTTGACTGTCTTCTACCTGCTCCTCACTCATCTGCTGGGGCCTCTGTCCTGTTTCCTAGGTACTGCTGCTCTCACTACTGGAGCAGGGGCTTTCTCTCTCATCCACTCTCTGTAGACTCAGGACAGTTCCTAGAAAATGGGAAAGATTTGGAGGTCCAAAACTAACATCATGAACTGTATGGGACCTAAGGAGGAATATTGTCAGAAAGAGTTCCACGGAGCTGTGTTCTGTTCCCCAAGTTACAAGCTGTGTATAGTAGCAGTTTTCATAAGTTGTGTATTAATTTTTTTTTGTGCTATAGGTGCTTAGTTGATCGTGTTTCTTTTTTTTTTTTTTTTTTCTCACTCTGTCACCCAGGCTGGAGTACGGTGGCACAGTCTCAGCTCACTGCAAGCTCCTCCTCCCGGTTTCACGCCATTCTCCTCCCTCAGCCTCCCAAGTATCTGGGACTACGGGCGTGTGCCACCACACCCAGCTAATTTTTTTGAATTTTTTTAGTAGAGACGGGGTTTCACCGTGTTAGCCAGGATGGTCTTCATCTCCTGACCTTGTGATCCACCTGCCTCAAAGTGCAGGGATTACAGGCGTGAGCCACTGCGCCCAGCTGATTGTGTTTCTTAATGTATTAAAGATTATAATCTTCCATCTCATTTTCTTTTTTTTTACGAACATTTATTTCAGGGTATTTAAGTACTTTTTTTTAGTTTTATTTTCAGCTTTTAACTCGAAAAGGCAATTTTGCCTTATTATGAAGACTTAATTTTATATATATATATATATATATATCTTGTAAACAGCTAGATTCATCAAAACACTGTAGATCCCTGAGGTTACTGGGTTATTCCAGTAAATCCAGGACTCAATTACTGAAGAGACAAAAAAGTGCTCTGATAAGTTGGAGATAAAAATCTTTTGAGGCATAGAGAAAAAGGTAAGATGGCAAATGATAGGTGTCATGTTGTTTGCCATTTCTGTGTTCTCTTGATGGTGGCCTGTACTGGGCAGGAGTCCAGAACTCAAGGGGAAAGTAACACAGATACAAGAGACTTGACGTCTCTGGTCTAGGAGCTTCCTAACAAAGGATAACTAAAGTGTAGATGGGTTTATCACAGAGCACATTTTCACCGTTTCTCTACCTACCAAATGATATGGGTAAATTTGATAAGTTTAAGCCAATATTTTAAATAATTGGGCAACAATTAATATCCCCCTACTCTGACTTTTCTCAGAGAGATTTTAAAAACTGAGAGAAAAGGATTTAAGATGGGATAATCTCTAAATCCATTGCAAAACCTGCTTTTTATTATTATTATTATTATTTTATTATTATTATACTTTAAGTTCTAGGGTACATGTGCACAGCATGCAGGCTCGTTACATAGGTATACATGTGCCATGTTGGTTTGCTGCACCCATCAACCTGTCATTTGCATTAGGTATTTCTCCCAATGCTTTCCCTCCCCCCGCCCCCCACCCCACAACAGGCTCCAGTGTGTAGTGTTCCCCACCCTGTGTCCAAGTGTTCTCATTGTTCAATTCCCAGCGATCCCATTACTGGGAGTATACCCAAAGGATTATAAGTCATGCTATTATAAAGACACATGCACACGTATGCTTATTGCGGCACTATTCACCATAGCAAGACTTGGAACCAACCTAAATGTCCATCAATGATAGACTGGATTAAGAAAATGTGGCACATATACACCATGGAATACTATGCAGCCATAAAAAGGATGAGTTCATGTCCTTTGTAGGGACATGGATGCAGCTGGAAACCATCATTCTCAGTACCATGCTGTTTTGGTCCAAAATCTGCTTCTTTCTTCAACTCCTTTCTCCACTTTGGATTTTTATATGGAAGTTTTATTACTTGGCTTGAGGTGTTCTAAACAGTGTTGGACATTTACACATTCAGAAGATAAAGTCTATTCCTGTTATCCACAGCCCTGCCCTTTGCATTGGGATTGGTCAATATATTTTAAGTGGAAATAGCTTATATTTACTATGCAGAGCACTATATATGTCATCAGTTCCTTCAGGGAAATTCCTATGTGTTTGAAACTTGACCTTAATAGGCAGGTAGTCAGCGTTTCAAACACAGTAAGAAATGTCTAGGTATGACTTGTATGCACTATTGGGTACCCCTTTATTTCCGTATATGTAGTTAGTTTTTAAAGTGCTGGTTATTTTTTAATCTGATTCTTGTTTAGTTTATCTTAATGTTGCAGTGGTCAGTGGTATACATTAAAAGGCAGTTATAATACTTTTTCTTCTTGCATGTCTAAAATTGTAATTGCAACATTCAATTGATTGAATTATCAGCTCCCTGAAAGTACTAGTCATGCCCCGCTTTTTTCTTTTCTATTTTAAAATATTGGCAACAACATTTTCCATTGTTTTACTTTCTCGTTTCTCTTTTTTGTTACGGAACTATAGAAATGATAGAGACAGAATTCTACTAATCTTGTCAAACCTTGTTTTCTAGTCTCATCTCTGAGTGTCCAGTATGTTGTAGAAGCTTACATTTTGGTGCCACATTTAATTAGTTTGAGACGCTCTTTTATAGCACAGTTTTAATACATGGTTCATATATTTCAATTTCTTCAAAATAGTAACCATTTACTATACAGTAGTATATCCATCTCCTTTCCTAAAAGATTTTTCTGTATTCTGAGTCATATTTTGCTTATATTTGATAGAGTGGCAGATATACAATTCAGCATGAAAACTATTATTTATGTAGATATTTCAACTGTTTTGTCTTGCATTGGTTTAATGATAATACTTGAATTGTTTCTTTCCCAGTCTCACCAAAAATTCTCTACATGTTAAAAGCAAAAATTTGATGGAGTTTATAAATTGGTACTAATTTCATACCCAAATCTAAAGGCTTAAGTGTATATCTGTCTTTAAATGTACAAGGCACATGTGCTTTGTGGAGAGAGATTGAAAACTAGTTTTGGACAGAAAATTTATTCAACCTTTAATTGTTAGCTGAAAGTAAAATTTCAGTTTAATAATATTTTCATATATTTTCATTTAAAAGTCAATTATTTTAAACGTAAATCATTCCTTTGAGGCCTGCCATGAACTTTTTTTTTGTTTTTACTTGGAGTTGTAGTTGAAAAAATTAAGAAAGTAACACCTATGGTGCTATTTAGTATAACATCTTAAAAATCTATGGCAGTGAAAGTTTAAGGCCTAGTTTTCATTAGTACCAACCAAAACAGGCTAATTGGTAACACTTTGTTCAGTGTAGCAAGATAAGGAAAATAAATTCAACCTGTTTTATTCTGCAATTTGTGATGAAAGTAGCTAATTCCTTCTTAAGTAAAGTTACTGAGTTTTTTTGACTTCCCAGAATAATTGAAAATTTCAAATTATTACCTGAAATTTAATATGTTAAGAGTACTTGATATTTTAATGCATTTATTGCTTTCGAATTTGTAATAATTCGGTGAGGTAAGTTAGTTAACCTGGAGTGGTTTGAAAGCTCAAAATTATTTCTTGTTGATTTTCTAAGTTTGGTAGAAACGTTGGAAATGTCTTTCTTGCTTGCACTAAAAGAATTATTTTTAGGGAATAATTCTACCCTATCTTAAGAATTTATAATTTTAACAGAGTGATACCTTCATCAACCTAAATACCAGTAAGTAATAATTATATACAGTGTCAGAGAGTAGATAGCAATTATATGCCTTGTTTAAAAAGAAATACTATAATTTGCTGTATAAGTTACTAGATTGGCATCTTGCTGAATTTTATTAGTCAGGGAGTTGCACAGGAAATTTTTTTCTGATTTGAGTAAAAGGAAAAAAATCTCAGGTTTGAGAGTTGTTACAAAGATATTCTGATTATAATTGCTAAGATGAGACATAGGAAAAGAGACATTCTGTTTTTTACTATTATCTAGAACTTTTTTGGTCAAGTTAATATTTTAACATTGATGGAAAAGAATGTGATGGTAGAGAGGAAATTGTAGCTCATGTTTGTTGTTTAGGTGAAGAAAATAAATTGGAAAATTACGAACAAAATAAGGAATGTCATCAATAATTTATATGTTGTGATATCTTTTATTTTCCTTCAGTGGAGGATATATAGGCATCAAGTCTTTGCTGAAATTAACAATCGTTCTTAGTGTTTTTCCTGATGAATCTACATCCCACATCTCATGGACTTGTGCAAATGCCTAGTAATTTAATTAGGACTTAATTCAGGATTCTTTATTTTTTTTCTTCTTCTTCTTCTTCTTCTTCAACTGATTTATTTATTCCTTCTTCTTCTTCTTCTTCTTTTTTTAAGGAATCTAGGTAAAAATGGCTTATCTAACAGTAGCATTTTGTTGGATAAATGTCCACCTCCAAGACCACCATCTTCACCATACCCTCCCTTGCCAAAGGACAAGTTGAATCCACCTACACCTAGTATTTACGTGAGTCTGAATTGACTGACTGGAAATAAAACAGTGTTTGCAACTACCTGTCTTTCATAAAATCTTTCTTTAAATTTATATGGATGCCCTTTAGGAAACATTACGATTATTGGCAACAGATTAAGTATTTTTTTGAGGGGGAAAGATACATTCAAAAAGATTTTGTAATAGCATTTTTAAAAGACCTTCTCAGCTATTAACTGTGATGATATTAGAATCATGAGAAATATTTTTTATTGCTCTAATTTTGAGCAGTATTAGGAAAAAGCTACCTAAAAGTGTAACGTTTTTTGGGTAAACTGGGTTTTAAATCTGCATTCTACTTAGTTATGTGGACCTTAACATTCATTCTGTTTTATACATCTGCCCCCCAAAAAAGATACTACCTTCAAAATAAGTGAGAACGTAAGTGTGATAGTAGATATATGTCACTAAAAAATTTAATAGGCTATTTAAAACTAGATACTAGTTTTACTTTATAGAAATATAGGAATCTGATATAGGAAGTTGTTAAAAGTTCAGTCAAAGCAATTCCTATTTCTGTTTCTTCCAAATAGATCTTCCTACCCTATTTCCTTTCATTTTCCTGCTTCTATCCCAAATCAAAGTTTTTTGTAAGTATAAAGTTAGGGTAGTATGTGTATAATGATCTTGCATCTGTAAAATGGTACTGGAGTTTGTTTTATAGATTTAACCCCTTTGCCCTCTAGAGGCCAAATATTATCATATTAATTCTTCCTCCAACCAGTCATTGTTTATCCCTTACTATGTAAGGGAAGCACGGGGATAGACATGTAAAAAAAACTTGTAATGTGAGCTCTGAAGAGAAAAAAAAAAATGCAAAATTAAGTTTTTATCTTTCATGGGTCCTCTTCAGTCTGCTTTCTTTGATAATATGTTTAGGCACAATTTTTTCTTCTTTTCCTCTCTTTTATTGTGATTTTTAAAAAAACACATAGCATAAAATTTACCATCTTACCCATTTCTGAGTGTGCAGTTCAGTACTGTTAAGCATATTCACATTGTTGTCCAACCAATCTCCAGAACTTTCTCATCTTGACAAACTGGAACTACACACTGAACAACTCCCCATTTCTCCCTCCTCCAAGCCCCTGGCAACTACCATTCTACTTTCAGTTTCTATAAATTTGACTATTCTAGATACCTCATGTAAGTGGAACCATACAATATTTGTCTTTTTGTGACTGGCTTATTTCACTTAACATAATGTCCTCAAGGTTCATCCATGTTGCAGCATGTGTCAGGATTGTCTTTTCATTTTAAAACTGAATAATGTTTGAAACACTTTGATTTTAAAGTTTAATTTCAGTTTCATTTCTCCTACATATTTTTGTCATGATAAAATGGACAGGAGAAATGTATGTGGTTACTATCTAATTTAAACTAGAATCAAAAGTCATAGTGATAAGGTACTGTCAAATAGAAATAGCACCCCATAAAATGCATTATTTAAATTGTGAAAAATAATATTAATTTGGAGCATAATATTTAAATAAAAGCTCTGTTTTCCTGAGATCTAACCACATATTTTAATTTTACAGTTGGAAAATAAACGTGATGCTTTCTTTCCTCCATTACATCAATTTTGTACAAATCCGAACAACCCTGTTACAGTAATACGTGGCCTTGCTGGAGCTCTTAAGTTAGGTAAGCCTTAAATAAAAAAAGGAAAAAGTTTGTCTATTTTTTTTTTTTTTTTTTAACTTTTCAAGCACTGGCAGAAACTTTTTTTTTTTTGTTTGGTATTTTAATTTTTTTTAGTACTAAGAATGAGAGAGAGTGTGTGTGTATATCACTTCTTTAATCCATGATGTGAATATATTGTTGATGATACTGGTTACTGGCAATTCTGTGGTGGTTTTTAAATTTAGCTATTATTTGGGTCCATTTACATAATTGTGATTTAGGTTAATAGAAAAAAATTGATTATAAAATGTAGGTGAAATTTGATGCTACTAATAAATACTGTAGTCCCATAAGTATTTCCTGGCATCTGCAGAAATTAAATAAATAAATGAAATTTCAGTCCTTGCACACTTAATTCTTTCTCGGATGGGATGACATAGCAGTTATATTCAAGGCTTCAGCTAATGGTTCTGCAAACTTGACACGTAGCTCAGGTTGTGCAGAGGCCCTAGTTTTTTATGGGAACTGGATACAGTGCCATAAAATGCTTTACCTTCTTCCTTTAAAAAAAATACAAGCACTTAAAATATTATCCCAAATATAATTTTCATTTTTTAACTACATTTATGTATTCATGAAGACCTGGGACTTTTCTCTACTAAAACTTTGGTGGAAGCTAACAATGAACATATGGTAGAAGTGAGGACACAGTTGTTGCAGCCAGCAGATGAAAACTGGGATCCCACTGGAACAAAGAAAATCTGGCATTGTGAAAGTAATAGATCTCATACTACAATTGCTAAATATGCACAGTACCAGGCCTCCTCATTCCAGGAATCATTGAGAGTAAGTATTTGTATCCTAAAGATTATTTTAGGACTTTAAAGATGATTTTACTTTGGAGTTTTGAAAGGACACATTACTTTTATATGCATCTCATCATTTTATGTTACTATGTATGTATGTATGTATGTATGTATGTATGTATGTATTATGTATGTATGTATGTATGTATGTATGTATGTATGTATGTATGTATTTTGAGACGGAGTCTCCCTCTGTCGCCCAGGCTAGAGTGCAATGGCACGATCTTGGCTCACTGCAACCTCTACCTCCCAGGTTCAAGCGATTCTTCTGCCTCAGACTCCCGAGTAGCTGGGATTACAGGCATGTGCCACCACGCCCAACTAACTTTTTTGCATTTTCAGTAGAAACTGGGTTTCACCATGTTGGCCAGGCTGCTCTCGAACTCCTGACCTCAAGTGATTCGCCTACCTCAGCCTCTCCCAAACTGCTGGGATTACAGGCGTGAGCCACCACACCCACCCTCGGTTTGCTTTTAGTAAAGTCTAAACAAACCCATGGGTTCATGAAGTAAATATCATCATGGGGAAATAGAATTACTGTCTAATGAAATATGTCCTTCATTTCTGGGATACTTTTTTTAGAGCAGGGTTTCTTAACTTCCGTAGTATTGACATTTTGGACTGGATAATTCTTTATTGTGGGGGGACTGTCTTGCACCTTGCAGGGTATTTATTAGCATCTCTGGCTTCTCAAAAATATCTCCAGACATGTCAAATATCCCCTGAAGGGCACATTCGCTCCTGGTTGAGAACCACTAATTTAGAGGATAAACTAAGTCTTAGGTTTATTTTATGCTTGCAAAATCCCGTCTTGTCTTCCCTTTTTTTTCTTCTGCCAGATTAGTGTTATCTCATAGACAACTCCTGCAGGAAACATTAGTGTTCTTCTTACCAATCTTAGGCTGTAAGAGAAAACTGAAGGAGGAAATTAAAAAAACAAAAATATAAAACTCAGAGGGTTATTATTATTAAAAGACCCATATAGCCCTTTCAGCACTGAAGCATTACAAAAATCCTCTAGCACTATAATGAGAACTTTGTGAATTCTCCTACAAAGTGAACATAATACATCCAAATAAATGAGTTTATTAAATGTATTACTCAAATACTTGTCTGCACTAAGTTGTTTGTTCTTCACATATCCTACCACTGATAGTATGTGACTGAAAGTCTTTAATTTGTGATTCATTAGATTTGCTTGTTGTCTCTGTTTAAAATTCTGCCAACTCATACTTTCAATCAAGATAGCATTTCTACCTGTAAATTATATTTGTCTTCCTTTCCCACTTGCCGCTCCCTATATACTACAAAGAAATTCATCCAGTAAAAACTATCCTGTGACTTTACTGAGTTCCAGTGAATTCGTTGTCCATATAAATCTGTAGTTCAAACTTTCAAAAGGCTTCAAGTACCTGCTAATATTATAGTCAGGATAGAATAAGTAGTAAGAAGGAGTTAAAGATCATCAAAGGAAAATTTGGAGGAAGAGTTGAAAAGCAAAGATAGTAAGAGGCAGTCTATTTAAATGGGGAGAGTTCCATAACCAAAGAAAGCATGGGGGTTTTTTGTTGTTTTTTTGAGACAAAGTTTCGCTCTTGTTGCCCAGGCTGAAGTGCAATGGCATGATCTCGGTTCACTGCAACCTCTGCCTCCTGGATTCAAGCAATTCTCCTGCCTCAGCCTCCCGAGTAGCTGGGATTACAGGCATTTGCCACCACATGCAGCTAATTTTGTATTTTTAGTAGAGACGGTGTTTCTCCATGTTGATCAGGGTGGTTTCGAACTCCCAACCTCAGGTGATCTGCCCACCTTGGCTTCCCAAAGTGCTGGGATTGCAGGCGTGAGCCACCGTGCCCGGCCAGCATGGGGTTTTTTAGTATGCTTTAAGACATGGACCATTACATGTGAAAAGTTTGACAAATGTTCAGACACTATACATTTAAAGGAATGGAAGCCAAAGGTCAGAAGTACTGCTAACTTAGAAATCATAAAACAGTGTTAACAGATACCATGTCCGTGACTCAGGAGTTGTAAATAAAAGTAATATTTGCATTGAAAAATACCTATATTTATCCAGCACTTGAATTACCAATGTTAGAAACATTTTGTCATTTGTGTATAATTCTTTGTGGAATAAATACTCCCTGGAAGAACTTTTCCTTTGTTTATAATCAAGAATAAAAAGTATCTTACCTTCTATTCTTACACATATATAGTTGTGTACACATGCACACACCTCTGCTAGCTTATATCATTTATCATCAAGATTGGGATGTCCTAGGCCTTTCAGCTTTACTCAAGTTTTCTCTCCTCTTGAAAATGGGGCAAGTATGAGAATCTATAATATAACGTTGTGGCTAGTGGAGGAAGTTGGATACCATGCCGGTGAGATTCGACTTTTCTTGGGTATTTATTTATTTAATGTGGTGTTTGAAGAAATTTTCATGTGTAAGAGGCCTATAGAAACTTAGTTTGAAGGCCAGGTGTGATGATTCACGCCTGTAATCCCAGCACTTTGGGAGGCTGAGGCCAGTAGACAGCTTGAGCGCAGGAGTTTGATACTAGCCTGGGCAACATGGCAAAACCCCATCTCTACCAAAAATACAAAAATCACCTGGGCATGGTCATCTGCACCTATAGTCCCAGCTACTCAGGAGGCTGAGGCAGGAGAATCGTTTGAGCCCAGGAGGAGGAGGTTGCAGTGAGTCGGGATCACACACTGCACTCCAGCCTGGGCAACAGGAGTCAAACCCTGTCTCAAAATATTAAAAACATGAAACTTAGTTTTTTTTTACAAATAATACTATTCAATCTAGATATGAATTTTTTTTTCAGTTGTATGGTGGAAAGGATTGCCAGTTGTACAACACTAAACTAGAATGCTTTTTGCTTAATCTATAGGAAGAAAATGAAAAAAGAAGTCATCATAAAGACCACTCAGATAGTGAATCTACATCGTCAGATAAGTAAGTCATTTTTAATGTCCACTTAGTATTTCTTTTTAAAAGGCATGTTTCTAATCCTGTGTCTCTTTTTTAAGTTCTGGGAGGAGGAGGAAAGGACCCTTTAAAACCATAAAGTTTGGGACCAATATTGACCTATCTGATGACAAAAAGTAAGTCCTTATAGTAATATTTCTGTGAACTGATGCAAAGAGTTATCCTGTGCTAGACTGGGAATTCTCTACAATTTCCTCTTCTGTTTCATTTATTTTCTTTTGTTTTTAAGTTGACATGAATTTAAGCTAAACTTTTTCTGCTATATTTTACAATTGAAATTTAAAAATTTTTTTTTTTTTCCAAAAGTAGAGATGGAGTCTCACTGTGTTGCCCAGGCTTGTGTTGAACTCCTGGGCTCAAGAGATCCTTCCACCTCAGCCTTCCAAAGTGTTGGGGTTACAGTTGTGAGCCACTGCACCTTGCCAGATTTTTTTTTTTACCTAAAACTTTTCTATAGTTTTTCATCAAGACTCTGACTATATGCTAATTACGTAATCACAAAATTATATTTTTAATTATATGAAATAGTTACATGAAAATGTATTTATAAAATATAATTGTACAACTGTTAGTATTTTTTCTTTTATTTACTTGGTCAATAATTTTTATGCCTATTTTTGTTGGGAAGTATTCTTTGGAAAAATTGAAAGATTTAAGTTTTTTCCTATGGAAAAGTAAAATATTTATAGACCTAATTGTTTTTCTGATTGGAACCCAAGAGTTTTGAAGAAATGGTAAACTTCCACAGATACTTGCAGCAGAGTTTCACTTTTGATGTGTTATTTTATTGCAGGTGGAAGTTGCAGCTACATGAGCTGACTAAACTTCCTGCTTTTGTGCGTGTCGTATCAGCAGGAAATCTTCTAAGCCATGTTGGTCATACCATACTGGGCATGAACACAGTTCAACTATACATGAAAGTTCCAGGGAGCAGAACACCAGGTAATTTGTATGAACTAACATACCTTGTTAAAATTGAAAACAAAATCAAAATATGAAACATGCAAAGACAGCCAGGATCTTGTCATTTATAATGAATAAAACTGAAAGAGTTGTTCCTGTTATAATGTTAGACTTTTTTTTTTTTCTCAGATTAAGATTTTTCCCCTTTTCATTATCTTTTTTTAGTGTAATAGCCCAGAAACAGTATAACAATTTAATCTGGAAAGGGGTCATTGGAGCACCACTGGGAAATAAGTTCTTTTGGCCTGAAGACTCTCTTGTCAGTCCCATCTGTTGCAGAGAGTGATAGGGTGCAGTGTTTTTTAATTTTTCTTTTAACCCAAGTAACAATAAAAAGTATGTTTTATATGTAACCAAATGCACATGTATGTATACAGCAGCAGTTTTATCGAACAGTATGTTTTCCAGTCTATTCCATTCTGTTTCATTTAAAAACTAAAGTGTAGGTTGCAGTTTTCTAAGTGGATCATAACTCACAGTTTAAAAATAACTTCATGATGTGGAGACATTACTAGACTCATTCTAATAACTAGTCTAGACTTTGCCACTAATTAGGCTTGTCACTTTTGACAAGTTACATTTCTTCTTTAGGTCTTTTTCTTCATTTGTAAAGTGAATTACATTGTTTTTAGACTTAAATTTTCTATCCAATACTGAAGTACTATCTTCTTTGTGCTCCTTTGCATTAACGTGAAATTTCACAGGGTGATATTCAAAATATTTAACAGTTGCTACAATCCCAGCACTGATCAGTTAGAAGAGATACTGTTGATAACCAGTTCAACTGTACCAATGTACTGTGGGCTGCAGGTCTCCCTCAGGTGCTTCTCTTTGCTACTTGATGCAGCCATGGTTTGAAAACCAGACTGCTTCCTTCTTCGTTCACATTCTCACTGAGTCATGCTTAAGAATTGTTTGAAAATAGGGCTATGCTTGCTTCTGGGTAAAATGGGTCAGTGGTTCCCCATCCCGGCTGCTGATTTGATTCTCCTGGTCCTTTGTTTCTTTTTCTTTTCTTTTCTTTTTTTGTTATTTTGTTAAGAGACAGGGTCTTGGTATGTCACCCAGGCTGGAGTGCAGTGATGTGATCATAGCTCACTGTAATCTTGTTTAACTCCTGGGCTCAAGCAATTCTCCTGCCTCAGCCTCCCAAGTAGCTAGGACTACAAGTGCATGCCACCATGCCTGGCTAATTGTTTCGAGGTTCACATAATGACTTCAAGTTATCCTTCCCTCTGGACCTCCCAAAGTGCTGGGATTATAGGCTTGAGTCACCACACCTGGTAGCTTTTAAAAAAATATGTAATTAATTAATCTCTAGGATTCAGATCCATGCATGTGGGTGGGTGGGTTGGTTTTTAACTGAGGTCCCCAGAGGATCCTAATATACAGCCAGGATTAGAACTATTGGTTATAATTGTTATCCTCAGACCATTAGAAGCCCAGTTCTGTCCTATTTTATCCATAGTCAGGTAAAGTGCAAAGAGTTCTGGAATACATGATGGAAGAACTATATTCTGCTCTGTACTCTATCATTGGACACTGATATAAATGTTGGGCAAAAAACATTATTTTGAGTACCTTGTTATGGGGTAAACGCTGTTCCTGGAAATTAGTTCATAAGGAAAGAAATGGTAATGATATCTATAATAGCTAATATTTATTGTTTACTGTATACAGATGGTCCCTGAGTTGAAATGGTGTAACTTACCACTTTTGGACTTTATGGTGGGTTTATCAGAGTATTAAATGCATTTTGAACTCAAGGTATTTTTCAGCTTACTGTGGGTTTATCAGGATGTAGTCCCATCTGTAAGTCGAGGAACATCTGTATTAGGCACTGTTTTATGCATTCATTAGTTTATCAATCTTCAAAACAGCCCAACAATTTATAGAGATTATTATTATCTGTTCTTACATACAGGGAAACTGAGTCAGAATGGTTTACCAACTTGCCCAGGTTCATGTAATGACTAAGCCAAGGAGCCTGGCTCCAGAGCCTAATCTCTTAACCATGATTATACTGCCTGTCATAGAAGCTCTTACTGAGTATGTTAGGAGTTGACATAAAAATGCTACAGTGATGAAGAACTAAATACTACTATAGTGTTCTCTGTTGAGCATTTGTAAGGTTTTGTTTCCATTTTTTTATTTTTCTATAAACTTACAGTGTGAAGATTAATTTTTTTCTGTGTAAGTACCATGTGCTAACCGATTGCGCCACTGGAGCTCCAATTTTTTTTCTTTTCACATTTCAGGTCATCAAGAAAATAACAACTTCTGTTCAGTTAACATAAATATTGGCCCAGGTGACTGTGAATGGTTTGTTGTTCCTGAAGGTTACTGGGGTGTTCTGAATGACTTCTGTGAAAAGTAGGTTTCCAAAGTAAATTTTCTTAAAACACGTACTAGAAAGCAGTAATTGTAAAGGACAACTTACCAAGCTGGATATCCTAATGGATACATTGCCAGTATTCACTTACCATTCAGCAAAGAATTCATTTTAAATTATTTGATTCCAAACCTTATATTTTGTGAAATTGGAAATACTTTAAGAAAGATGCCATGAAACAACTTCATGCAATAGTAGTACCCATGAATTTAAGAAGATAGAAAAGTTGAGTTATTAGTTAATTTTTAAAATGCATACTTACTCATTTGAAAGGTGTGTATTCCAAGAAAAATTGTTTTGTTATAAATGGTTTTAGGAAGTAGAAGGAATTCTTTATTGAGCACCTGTACAGGCTGTGAATAACTCAAGCTTGACCATAATACCCTTTGCCATATCATGATATAAATTCTTTTTAAACTGACAACTTTTTCTAGGAAGAAATTTTATAAAATGTATTATTACTTTATTTTTTATTTTTAAATAGAGATGGGGTTTCACCATGTTGCCTAGGCTGCTCTTGAACTCCTGAGCTCAGGCGATCGACCTGCCTGGGCCTCCTACAGTGCTGGATTACAGGCGTGATCCACCACATCAGCCCAGATTTTGTTTTCTCTAGCTGAAAGAATTGGATAATTCCTTTCCTTAAGATCTCAGAAATAGTTTTTTTTTTTTTTCTTGCGTTAAAAAGTACTTTGGAATTTTTTTTTTTTTTTAGTTGGTTTCAATTTGATCATTTGTCTAAATAGAGCCTTATTCTCTTTCTTCTTTTTTAGAAAGTACTTTATTATATAAGGACCTGATATTTTCATTTAGTAATAACATTAGAAAATTAGTATAGGATGAAAATATACATTATATACACATTTGGTGTTATGCCCCCACCCCAATTAAAGGGGGGAAAAACCCCACAGGAAACATTTACATATGAGATGACTTTGAAAACTAATTGTACACGTATTCCACATACTAACTTCTTTATGTTTATTTTTCCTTTTTTTGAGATGGAGTCTTGCCGTGTTGCCCAGGCTGTAGTGCAATGGCACAATCTCAGCTTACTGCAACATCCACCTCCCAGGTTCAAGCAATTCTCCTGCCTCAGCCTCCTGAGTAGCTGGGATTACAGGGGTGTGCCACCATGCCCTGCTAATTTGTGTATTTTTACTAGAGACAAGGTTTCACCATATTGGCCAGGCTGGTCTTGAACTCCTGACCTCGTGATCCACCCACCTTGGCCTCCCAAAGTGCTGGGATTACAGGCGTGAGCCACCACGCCCAGCCCCATACTAACTTCTAATTTCTTACTTTGGTTTAAGAATCTTTGCTTAAATATTTGGATTTAGTAAGAAGTGCATTGTAGTTAAAAAACAAAAAAAGATACTAATCCACAGTTTACTTACATAAAAGCAAGGGATAATTACCTTATATTGTCTTCACTATTCATATACTGGTTTCTTTCAGTGTAAGAAAGCCAAAGATAGGGAGTTTTAAGGCTTCTAATGTACTGATGAAATAACCTGATCTACTTTAATCTGTACTTTTTTTGTGGACCAGCAGTCCAGTAGCAGCAGAGAAAGAACATTGTTATATAGAAAATCTCCATTGTGCTATAGAAAGATTTTATTTCTTGAACTTTGAGTTAATACTATATTGTTGCAGCTATAATACAGGAATCCTTGTTCATTGTTTCTGAGTAGCGACTGGCTATTTTTAGGGTGTAGTTTTTTTTCCTATCTAAATGGAGAGGTGTCTTGGGAAAAAAAAGATAATTAGGATAAGCAGATGACATCCAAAAAGCTTGAGCTTAGGGATAATAAAAATATCAAGTTAGGAGGAAGGGTTAGGTAAATTTAATAACTCAGTTGTAAAAGTAGTACTTGCTTCTTCAGCGTTTCACTGTAATTTTGTTTCACATAAAGATTGTTGCTTTTGATAGTGACTATATACTGTATCTGTAGTTTATTTTATGGCTTTAAGTAATACCTGTCTTGAAATAACCATTCTTTTGAATATATGATTAAAACGATGCATACTTTTTGGTAAGTTTAATTTTTGGGGGGGGGTTCTATTTGGGATTACTTGCTTGCTTTTGGATAAAAAGTTTTCTCTAATTTTGTAATGACAATACATGGGTGAAATAAGGCTAAGATTTGTGTTTATAGCCATTTTTTGCTTTATAGGCAACTTTTTCTGGACTGTATCTACTTGGCCTTGTCACACACAATAAGCCCATCCTTATCTCTTTGCAGTTAGGCTACCATTTTCACTCTAGTCTAAACTTTTGAGAGTAGCCTTGCATTTTTCAAGAGAGAAAAAGAGAGACTAAGGTTCTTTCTAGATCATAGTTTGGCAATTTGTTTTCCATAAAGGACCAGATAATATTTTCGGCTTTGCAGATCATACGCTGTCTGTCACAACTGTGTCATTGTAACAGGCACAGTCAGAGATAGTACGTAAGTGAATGGACATAGCTGTATTCTAATAAGTTTTATTTATAGAAACAGGCAGTGGTCTGAATTTGGCTCATGGACCATAGTTTGCCAACCCTTGATCTAGATAAAAAATTAAATTTAAACCAGTAAAAACAATTGTATACTTTCTCATGTGCTATAGCACAAGATAAATAAAGTAAGATTATTTCTTAGATCTTACGGAAAGGAACATTTTTACTGTGTAAGTTTTTCTTTCCCCAAAATATGAAATTTGAAGTAGTTAATTCAATTTTATAAAGTTCTTTTATGGGAAAAGTGACTATGTGGTTTAAAAAGTACTTCATATCATGATGGAGAATAAGAAGCCAGATATTAAAATAAAAGCTTAATAATATGATCTATGGAATGTTTCCAAAGTATATTGGTAGTAGTGGTCATGATTATTTGTGCCCGTGCATGATTGTTTGTTTTTGATAGTTGTTTTGAACTGCGTAGTTTTAATCAGCTAATCATCAAAACTATGTGGAGTCTGACATCCAGTCTCCTTTTCCTCAGAAATAAGGGAAGTTCTGGTACTTGTATTGCCACAGTGTTCCTGTTTATGGATTTAAATGACTTGATGTCAACTCTACCTTCCATTTACCTTTTAGGGGTTTCTAGGTGCTCCAGGCAGAAGGCTTCAGTCAAAAATAGTCTTTGTTGATATGAAATTAAAAATTAACTTATGTGTTACTTGAAAGTAGCTTTAGATTTCATTTGGATCTTTGAAAAATCAATTTAAGATAGTAATACTGGGCCGGTTCACTTACTACAGGTATTATAATGCCTGTAATCCCAGCACTTTGGGAGGCCAAAGCAGGCGGATCTCCTGAGGTCAGGAGTTTGAGACCAGCTTGGCCAACCTGGTGAAACCCTGTCTCTACTGAAAATACAAAATTAGCCAGGCGTGGTGGCAGGCGCCTGTAATCCCAGTTACTCCGGAGGCTGAGGCAGGAGAATTGCTTGAGCTCGGGAGGCGGAGCTTACAGTGAGCCTAGATGGAGCCAAAAAAAAAAAAAAAAAAAAAAAGAGCAAGACTTGGTCTCAAAAAAAAAAAAAAAAAAAAAAAAATGCTAACACTGATCTTTAGTAATTTAGTACTCAACCATAATTACACACTCTTTATATACATACAGCAGATCTTTTTGGAAAAAAAAAAACGTTTCAATAAAATGAACAAGTGTTCATTAAAAAAAAATTTTGATGTTTTCTTCCAGTCTTACTAGGAGCTTCTTAATATAGTTGATCCATTTACATTATTTTTTTCTTATTTCAGAAATAATTTGAATTTCCTAATGGGTTCTTGGTGGCCCAACCTTGAAGATCTTTATGAAGCAAATGTTCCAGTGTATAGGTTTATTCAGCGACCTGGAGATTTGGTCTGGATAAATGCAGGCACTGTTCATTGGGTTCAGGCTATTGGCTGGTGCAACAACATTGCTTGGAATGTTGGTCCACTTACAGGTATTATAAAGAATATGCTTAAAAAAAAGTTAATTTATATAGGATTATATCCAATAGGTCTGTTCCTTTTTTCTTGAAATATAACTTACTAAAAGTTGTAAGAAGAATGTCTCCTTGCATAGAATTGCAATTTGTAGTACAATAAATTAAATTCAAGTTAACAAATGGAAATCTAAGAGCGTAGATATTAGCAAAAAACAGGTTTATGGCTTTAATATACATGAAGGGTATAATAATAATTTTTAGAGTGCTTGGTTTTATTTTATTTAAAAAAAAAACCCTTATGAGAGAAAACAAAGTAGAAAATTTATTCTTTCACATTAAAAAAAATCTAGTATTTCATATGAATAGATCTGTAATGTCAAAATCTGTTTGAATTACGTCTGCCTTCAGGCAGTACTCACTTAAGGTTAAGAATGTGGAGTTTAGAGCCAAAAAGACCTGGATTAGGACCAGGATCTGGCTCTTGTAACTTTGGGCAAGTTATTTAACCTCTCTGGTCCTCGATTTCTTCATCTGTATAATGGAAGTAATGAAATTAATAAGGTGATGGTGAAGAGTAAATGAGATAATGGGTAAAAATCAAAATAACACAATGCTTGGCATATAGTCATAGGAAGTGCTCTTTATATGATTGCTAATATTATTACTACTGTAATTATCATAAAGCATAATTATTTTTATAGTGTTTTGAGGTTTTTCAGAATTGATGTTGAAGATATCACCTGAGCAGGTGATAATGGTTATCTTCATATCTTTTGGTACTTTGGGTTGCTTTATAACTGTTTTTTTTTTCCTAGCCTGCCAGTATAAATTGGCAGTGGAACGGTACGAATGGAACAAATTGCAAAGTGTGAAGTCAATAGTACCCATGGTTCATCTTTCCTGGAATATGGCACGAAATATCAAGGTCTCAGATCCAAAGCTTTTTGAAATGATTAAGTAAGTCTTTTCTAAAACTGCTTTTTTTCCTCTCTTTTTGGGGAGTGTTAACTATTAAGGTTTTTTTCTCCCTTAGAATTATGTTGACATCAAAGCAAAGTGGTCCAGAAGTCTAGCAGAATGTAATATGAGAATCCACATGTTAAAAACATTTTTCCCTTGCAACTAGCCCACTATGGTACAGAAAGGAAAAAAAGACACATATGATTATAAATCAGTAGAGTCACAAACCTGTGCTTCTGTCCCATTTCCCTCTGAACCACCTGATATCCCAGGATAACTTTAGTTTTAATATTGAAAATCTACCATTAGTAACTTGAGGGGAAAATGGCATCACAGAATATTTGTTGTCACAGACAAATTAGCAGTTAATATAGGGATTTGACTAAAATGCTAATTTTTAAATTTTTAATTAAATCATCTATCTTTTAAAGTGTCTCTTTTCTGAGCTACTTAAAAAAATTTAGGGGCCGGGCGTGGTGGCTCAAGCCTGTAATCCCAGCACTTTGGGAGGCTGAGACGGGCGGATCACGAGGTCAGGAGATCGAGACCATCCTGGCTAACATGGTGAAACCCCGTCTCCACTAAAAAATACAAAAAACTAGCCGGGCAAGGTGGCAGGAGAAGGGCGTAAACCCGGGAGGCGGAGCTTGCAGTGAGCTGAGTTCTGGCCACTGCACTCCAGCCTGGGCGACAGAGCGAGACTCCGTCTCAAAAAAAAAAAAAAAAATTTAGTATAAGTTATGTAAATTCTTATCTAGGACCCTAGTTTGAATACCAGTAAGCTTCACATTTGTTTTCACAGTTTCTATCTTAGCCATTTTGTAAATCTATTTAGAGGTACTATTTTCAAACAGTGCTATATAGCAGTGTTTCCCTAAACTATGTTTTCCACTACTAGCTCTGTCCCCAAAAGATGGGAAATTCTGGCTATGGAAATATGGGAAATGATAGAGTAAAGTTCAGCAAGTGGACAAGTCCTTTATTTTTATTTATTTTTTGTAAAATATTTTAGATACTGTACATGTTAATGTAATTTGTGAATGAGGGAGAAGAGTTACAGTGTACAGTATTCCCCAAACTTATTTGACCAGTATCTTTTGAAGAATTAGTTTTCTCAAAAGCTCATTTTGGAATACACTGCTTTATATTCATTGATTAAATAAGTTTGTCTTAGTCTTTGTTAAAACAGTGTTTACATTAAGTATTTCTCCTGCAGATAATTTGGTCAGCATGTGTTGTTTTCAAAATGCCGTCTTTTGAAAGTAATCCTGGTTTGTTAAAATGATTTCAAATCTAGATCCAAACTTTTATTTAAACAAAAGTTGTGTGGCCAAGGCAACATGCTTATGAATTATTTTATGACAGTCTTTTCTCAGTTGCACCATTTTATCTAGTTATAGGTAAAAGGGTAGGGGAGACAAAAAGGACCAAAAACCAAATTACAGCAAGTAATATACAAATTCTTTAGAACATTGAATCTTGCGTACCATACTTTCCATAAATATAATTTATAGTGGGGCGGGGAATTGTCTCTCCATTTATCCTGTTATACGTCAGAATGGTACTTTTCCCTGAATAGCAAGTTCAGTGTTATTTTTTGAAACAAAAGTGATGTAAAGTCACTAAAGGTGTTTAGTAAGTTGGAGGTAGTCATAAACTAGATGCTAAGTCAGATCACTTAAAAGTAGTTCAATATAGAAGCCATTTATCTAACAGCTATATAGACTGAAAGTAACTCATTACATTATGAGTAGATTAGGATTTTATAATTGGAAAGGATTTTAAGGTCACTTAATCAGCTCCTACTTAATATAGTAATCTTATCTATATTCATAATTTGTGATCATCCAGTGACTTAAACATTATTTTCACCTCACTATAATTCTTGCAAGTTGTTTACAGAATAACCTAAAGTCTACCTGTCATTTGGTCCGATTTCCTGAGTATATTTAGGATTTATGCAGAATAAATCCCATTCAACAAATGTTTGAAAACTAACTCTATGCCAGACACTGTTCTAGGCACTGATGATAGACATACCAATGTTTAAGATGAAATTCCTGTCCTCTGGAGACTTAAATTCTAGTAGGACAAGAAAGAAACCCCCAGTATAATTTATTTATATGAATAAGATAAAATACAGTAATATTTGGGAGGAGGGAAGGTCAGAGTGCTTCTTTTGCTTAACGGGTCTGAGAATGTGAGTTTTCTGCTTAGCCCTGAATAATGAGGTGAAATCAACTACACAGAGATCTATGGGTAGAACCTTTCATATACAGAGAACAGATGAAGGCTAAATTGGGAATAACTTTGGCATGTTTATGGGACAAAAAGGTCAGGGTGACTATAGCTGAATGAGAGGAAGAGTGATGGCAATAAACTTAACTAAGCAAGCAGGAACGAGATCGTACATGGGCTTTCTGGACATGGTAAGAAGTTTGTATATTAATTATAGGTGTTACAGCTTGCCATAGAGGATTTTAAGCTGGAAAGGAATAAGTTTCACTTTAAATTTAGAAAATGGATCTAGTGGCTGGGCGCAGTGGCTCATGCCTATAATCCTAGCACTTTGGGAGGCTGAGGTAAGCCAGATCACTTGAGTTCGGGAGTTTTACCAGCCTGGCCAACTTGGTGAAACCCCGTCTCTACTAAAAATACAAAAATTAGCCAGGCATGGTGACGGGTGCCTGTAATCCCAGCTACTCTGGAGGCTGAGGCAGCGGGGGTGGTGGGGCGCTCCACTTCACTCCAGTCTGGGTGAAAGAGCGAGACTTGTCTCAAGAAAAAAAAAGAAAAAAAGAAAATGGATCTAGTTGCTTTGTGTGGAATGGGTTCCAAGGGGTAAGCTTAGAAGTAGGGAGGACAAATTAGGAGGCAATTGTAACAGTACAGACCAACCTGGACAGAGATTTCCCTGTAAAAATAGAGAGAGGGGTCAAACTAGGGAGTCTTGTGGAGCTAAAGCTCATAGAACTTGCTCATAAATTAGGTGGTTGGGTGAGAGGGAGAAAGGAACCAAGGAAAACTTATCCATAGTCTTCTTGTTGTCTGATTGTCATTAATTTAAACATTAGTCACCTCTGTCATCTTTTCCATTCCCTACCCCACCCTCAATATTCTTGTTATCCTTTGAGACTCCTTCCAGTTTATCATTGTTCCTCTCAATACTTAAAATGTTGAGGTCAGACATACAAAATTTGGGTTTTTTTTTTTTTATAATTTATAGTGATACTGTTTATTTCTTTTTTTTTTAACCTAGATACACTTACATTCTTATCTATACTCCATTTTGCCCTATACTACAAAATGTCTAATCATTTAAATCTTGATTGTATTCCTCGTGATATTAACAGTTCTCCTCCCAGCTTGAGTACCTATTGACGCACCAGTTGAAAATGTTAACCACAAGTCTAGACCCCTAGGCCTTGCTTTATAAGCCTCCCTTTTTGAAATAATTGTCATTGAGCCATTGCCAAAAATGTACTTTTCAGCAGCCAACGTGGCTCCCTTTCTTTGATTTAATGAGTCTTTGCTTATTGTATACAAGGCTCTAGGCTAGGCTCTTAGGGTTTATAAATACATGGTATAGGTCCTTTCTTAGTGCAATTAAATAAAATAGATTGAAAGAAATTTGGTGATAGATCCACTGATGTTTCCAGCCCAAGGAGTCAGAGAGGTTTTTTTTAAAAAACTGTGTATTCTGGGGAAGAATGTATTTTGTGTGATGGGTGAAAATGAGGAGGCAGGGAGAAGAGAAAGGAATAGCACTTAAGCCAGCTTAAAACCAGACTCTTGCACCATCAGAAAGATGCCCCAGTTCATCCATAAAATAGCCTACATAGCATATCTCCTTAAGTCCAGCACAGTTAAATGTTTTCGTCCAGTGAAGGAGTAAATCCCTTTTCTTCACTTGAGCTCCAGGCAAATAGTTGGCTTATGTAGAGAGGCCATGTTGTATGAATAACTCTAGTCTTCAACCACTAAAGTCATGCTCAACATGGTAATTCTGAAAGGCTCAGAGGAACTCTGGAGAAGAATAGCAAATGTATACTCCAACTCATGTTCTCTTCCTCCTGTTGTCATTCTCTCCCCTATACCTCCCTTTTTTGCCCTCCCTCCTGATTACCCTCCCTGCTGTGCATTTGCGTGAGCTTAAATGTATATACGATACAACTGCTATATGTTTATTGACAATAATTGGTATGTTTTGGCTTGAGCGCAATGTGTGATGAGTAGTAGAGTAAGATATAGTTGTAAAAGTTGGTTAGAAGCCGCTTATGCTTTGTGTACTAAACTTAAGACTTTCTTCTGTTGGAGAGCTCTTGGTGGGTTTTTAATTAATATGATCTAATTTAGGTTTCATAAAGGTGTTTCTAGCTATTAAATAGAGCAAACTTTTGGATAGTAAGAGAAAGGAGTGAATCAGAGATTCTTTGGCTTTTAAGTCTGGATACTTAGATGGTTTAGTAATATTGCTAGTTAATAAATCGGGCTTAGCACTTAGCCAAGCACTGAGCAAAGTGCTTCCCAGACTGTACTCACTTATTTCTCACAGCATCCCAAGGTCATTCAATTGACTAGAGGTAGAGCCAAGATTTAAACCCCTATCTGTCTGTGAAAGTGCTTGAGTGAATCTATGGCACATGACTTCATTTGGGGACAAGTTTGGGGAGCCAGTTAAAGAGTTGGATAGAGCTATTTAGAAGAAGCTGACTAGGGAGTCATCTACCTAGGAATTTGTGACGGTCTTGAGAGGAAAAGGAAAGAAAAAGTTGGGGGTAGCACTTTGTGGGGGATATGCCTGTTTAAGAAAAAGAAATAGGTGAGCTAGATAACAGGAGAGCATGGAGACTGAATTGTTGCAGAAATAGAGAAGGAGGTCTTTTTCCACAAGCACAGTTTTGCCGTGTAATTGTTATATCCACATCATTGCTCTGGTCTTCAAATCTAGTAGTTCCTGCCAAAAAATGAAGTGGTGTTGGTTTTTTCTGGTTTGT